GTCAACTCATATAGACTAGAAACCTAAATGTGAAAAGCAATCAGTAAAATTATGGAATATAGCATCATCTTTTTGATATGGGATAGGACAAGATTTCTTCAACATACTGATAAATTCAACTATATTAAGAGCCTCTATACATAAGCAGACACCAGAAAGAGAAAAGATAAGCCTCTGAGTAGAGAATCCAAATAGTAAGTAATGGCATGCTCATATTTAGAACTTATAAAGAATTACTACAAATAAGGAAAAGGCAGACAACTGAATGAAAAATAAACAACAAAAAAGATTTGTTATTTTTTTCAAAAAAAGACAAAAGGCCTGCTCTGTTGCAGTTCAATTTCTTCAGATTTTATTTATTTATTTATTTAATTTATTTATTGAGATGGAGTCTCACTGTCTCCCAGGCTGAAGTGCAGTGCCACACTCACAGCCACTGCAGTCTTGACCTGTCAGGCTCAGGTGATCCTTCTGCCTCAGCCTTCCAATGAGCTGGAACTGTAGGCACAAGCCACCATGCCTAGTTAATTTTGTGTGATTTATTGTAGAGACAAGTTCTCACCAAGTTGCCCAGGCTGGTCTTAAATACCCAGGCTCAAGCAATCCTCTTGTCTCAGCCTCCCAAAGTGCTGGGATTACAGGCTGAGCCACCATGCCCAGTCTAATTTATTATTATTATAATTTTTTTGAGTCAGGGTGTCACTCTGTCACCCAGGCTGGAGTGCAGTGGCACAATCACAGCTAATCACAAACTTGATCTTCCGGGTTCAGGTAATCCTTCTGCCTTAGTTTCATGAGTAGCTAGGAGCACGGGCATCTGCCACCACGCTTTTTTGTCGAGATGAGGTCTTGCTATCTTGAGGGCGGGTCTCAAGCAATCCTCATGCCTTGGCCTACCAGTGTTAGGATTACAGGTGTGAGCAATCATGCCTGGCCCTTTCAGATATATTAAAAGTTTATAGGACTCAGGAACCAAAATTGCATCCGATGGCTTCAAGGGTCATGTGTTGGATGTGAGTCTTGCTGATCTGTAGAATGATGAAGTTGCACTGGGAAAATTCAAGCTGATTACTGAGAATATTCAGGACAAACTTCCTGAATAACTTCACTGTCACCAATCTTAGCCATGACAAATTGTGTTTCATGTGCCTGTTCTATCTCAGTTTTATTTAAAGAATGCAACAAGCTGGGCTCAGTGGCTCAGCCTGTAATCCCACGCTTTGGGAGGCTGAGGTGAGTGGATTGCCTGAGCCCGTGGGTTCAAGACTCGCCTGGGCAACTTGGCGAGACCTCATCTCTACAATAAATCAAAAAATCAGCCGGGCGTGGTAGCGCATGCCTGTAATTCCGGGTACTCGGAAGGCTGAGGCGGAAGGATCGCCAGAGCCCAGCAGGTCGAGGCTGCGGTGGCCAGGAGCGGCCACTGCACTCCAATCTGGGTGACAGAGTGAGACTCCAACTCAAAAAAATAAAATAAAATAAAAAATAAATACTGAAAAAGCCCAAGTTTGAATTGGGAAAACTCATGGAGCCTCATGGTGAAAGACAGTAGTTCTGGAAAAGCTCTGGAGATGAGACAGGTGCTAAAGTTGAACAAGTTAAAGAACATAATCCACCAATCTAAGAATCTATTTATAAAATTTATAAAATCCCAGCACTTTGGGAGGCCGAGGTGAGAGGACTCCCTGAGCCCACAGGTTCAAAACCAGCCTGGGCAACTTGGTGAGACCTTGTGTCTACAACAAATCAAAAAATTAGCTGGACGTAGTGGTACACACCTGTAGTCCTGGCTACTTGGAAGGCTGAAGTAGAAGGATAGCCTAAGTCCAGCAAGTCAAGGCTGCAGTGGCCGTGAGCGTGCCATTGCATTCCAGCCTGGGCAACAGAGTGAGACTCTGACTAAAAATAATAAGTTTGGCATTTACCTAGTAAAAATCAAGAAAATTTACATACTGGACAAAGGGGTGATGGCCTTCTTAAAGTATGTAATGTTAGCTGGGCATGGTGGCGCATGCTTGTAGTTCCAACTACTTGCAAGGTTGAGGCAGAAGGATCACCTGAGCCCAGCAGGTCAAGGCTGCAGTGGCCGGGAGTGTGCCACTGCCCTCCAGCCTGGGTGACAGAATGAGACTCCAACTCAAAAAGAAAAAAAAAAAAAAGTATGCGATACCGTAAATAAAAGCTAATCTTGAGGGGAACTAATAAAGCAGAGATGTACTCACTGCATCTTACAGTATTTTCCCTTTCTCCATAGTCTTCAGGAACTTTCATTAAAAGATGGGGTCTTGCCTTGCCGCCCAGGCTGGCCTTGCACACTTCAGGCTCCAACAGTCCTCCTACCTCAGCCGCCCGGGTGGTTAAATCCATAGGCTCAGAGTTTTTCATCTTAAGAGGACTCTCCAATGTTCTGACGGCTGCCCCTGAATCCTCACATCCAGGAATTCCCATCTTAAAGACATAGGGCTATTCCTGATGCTAAAGTAGAGCAACTTCAACCATTCCAATAGATACTGGTAGGACTGGTAAAGGTATCTCAATTCTGGCATGGATACATTGGTTCATTTCATACTGTCTTGTAGACAGAGTCTAAGGTCACCCTGAACACATGATTCATCTATTAATTCCTGTGTCCTGAGTTAACACTATCAGTCCTCCCAAGCAAGAGACTTGCTCAGAGATGCAGAATTTTTAACTCAGGCGTACTTCTCACTATAAATTAATAAACTGGCATTTAGATTTATTAAGATCAACAAGTGGAGAAGACTGTAATAGGGAGAGGTGCCAAATCCAAAACAATTATTTTATGGCTGGGAACACTGAGGCTAGCATGAGGTAAATCTGACCAGGTAATAGATATCTGAGACCAGAATCTAGGACTCCTGCCTCCCATACCAGGACTGTCTTCCCTTTACTTATTGGTGCTTACTCTGACTATCCATTCATTCCCAGGACAGTTCCCTAAACTCCAATATTCCCACACCTGGGTCTCTCCAATGACTCTCTTGACTACAGAACTTATATAGTTTAACCAGGCAGCCCTAGTTAACCTTGGGAGCAAGGTTGCCACAGTATGAAGCCCAAGCCCAGGGAACAGAAAGGTACAGAAGCTGAGAGAGGAAGCCCACAATGTAAAAAACAGTCTAGTCATCAAAAGAAAACAAGGGCATGGAAGGGGAAATTATACTGTTTTGCTATCCAATGAAAGACAATTGTTATCTTCTTATGGGCAGAACCCTGGCTATCTCCCCAGGTCCAGGCACACTGTAGGTAGACACTGAGTATTCAAGAAGAAAAAGACTTTGCAGATACCATGTTCCAGCAGCCTTCAGCCAACATCCCGAATAAAGCTATTTTTTCTTTTCTTTGTTTTTCTTGGAGTTGGAGTCTCACTCTGTCGCCCAGACTGGAGTGCAGTGGCCCCTCCTGGCCACTGC